TAGCCTTCTCACCACTGAAAACCAGTGGATTTTCAGTGGTAAGAAAAGTGGTTTGAAGTCTTGTATAGGGGAGGGACACCCCTCTCCCTTCATTGCCTCATTTCCTTGCTTTTTGGCTTAAAGGGTGACATGCATGCTTGATTGATTTTGGCCCTTTTTCAGAGGTTTTTGGGTGTTTTTAGGTCACATGTAACCTCTGTTTTTGGTCGGATTTGTGCCCTTTTGCATGCTTAACATACTTGCTTTACATTCCTCTATTTGGCCTAGAAATGCATCTTGTGTTTAGGCCATGATTCTTGCATGTGTTAGCCTAATTTCATGAAGGTATTGGCATTACTTTACCATGTTTAAGGTCTGTTGGCCATCTGTTTCAGTCATGCTTGCCTTGTTTGGTGTCATCTCTTTGTGTTTTGGCTTGTAAGCCTCGAGTATATTGGCCTCTAGCATGCATAGCTTAGACCATTCCCATTGTTTGACATCATTTAGGGTCGTATTTCAGTCCATAAATCATGTTTGTATGTTTGCATATGTGACCTCTTTCATGCTTTGAGGATGTACCCTTTTATGCCTAGAAATGAGCTTTGGTGCATGTATCTCATTGGAGCCATTTAAGCTGCCATATCAGTGGGTTTGGAGTCCATTTTGCATGCTAGGATTCTGTTTTTTTTTGCTTCTCTAATTCATGCCATGAATGGTCATGTTAGTGGAAGTAAAGTGTCCCCTTTTGTGCCTTAGCCTTAGGTCCATTGGCTTGCATGTTGGCATGAGTGTTTGTCCACCATTTTGGACACTTTTGGCCACTGTTTTGGGGTGGATCAAGGTCTGCCCCTTCATGGTTTAAGCCCACCATTGCATACTTGTCTCATGTTTGTTGCATGATTGCTTCATTAGGTGTTGTAACATGACGTTCCTATTGCTTAAATTGTCCATATTTGCATTGCATTTGCATCTTGCATGCCTAGCATTGCATACTTGCCATGGTGGTTGCATGGTACTTGGCATGACTTGCGTCTTAATCTCATATTGTATCTTTGAGTCATGATTGCATAACATGCATTGCATTACTTGGTTTGGGGTGTCAAACCATGTGTGAGGGTTAAGGAGCGTTCATACTATAAGTGATGTAACGCGCCTTAACTCTCGGTCGCCGGGGCCCTTGACTTAGACATGATAGGGTCATGGTTCTCATTTGTGTGTCGCATGCATTTTTTCTTACATCAAATGGCAAGCTTGATCACTTAGGCTATCATGCATAATTGATGGCTCGAGGATCGAGGGCCATGCTTCCCTGAGTTCAAAGCATGATGGGGAGCATGACCATGCTCACATGTGCTTGAAATCCCATGCCATATACTGTCTGTCCTCTGTTGCTGTCAAAACTGTCTTCTGCAGGAAGTTTCTGCCGACCGGCAGCATCCAATGTCGACCGGCCATTGGTGAATGGCCGATAACCCCATCAGCAGCCGATGGAAATTACGTATGGCCAGTGCGCATTCCCTCCAGCCGATGGTATTCTACAGTGTGCAAGGAGCCTGTCCCAGAACTTTGGCAATTTTCAGAGAGACAGGGCAGTGTAAACAGAGGCGATAGTGGTATGGTACGGACTTTCTGGGCGAGACGGGTTTGAGCATGCATCATTCGCGCATCCCGAGGCAAGGGCTGTGGCCACCCTTCTTTTTTTGCATTCATTCTGTTAATTAACTAGAAATTCTGTAATAATTAATGCGTTTATTATTCGGACTGTAATATTTATTTGGACCCTCCGAGTGAGGGCAATTATGTAATAAGTGTGCGTGAGTGTGTGTATGTCTTCCAACCCCACGTCTTTCTTCCCTTTTATTTACCTGCTTATGATGGTAGACTAGTGCATATTTAAAATCAGCATACCTTATGCTATGCATGCGTGCATTCATGCATTTGCCTTGCATGCACCAGGCTCGGCACATCACTCTAACTGCATTTGTATTTCGATTTCAAATTGAATACATGATTAGTTGTAGCATTTCATATGTCATTATAGATTAGCCGAGCCTATCTTAATCTCATTCTGTATGTGTTACATTAGCCACTTTAACATGAACTAGGATCACGCATGTTTGCTAACTAGTTTATTGTTTTGGCACAGAGTACGATGCAAGTATTTACGCTTTAGCATCCTCGCATGTGTGTGAATGCTATCATGACAGCATGTTTACCATGTGGCTAGATGCTTATGTGATAAACTGTTTGGATGCCTGTGGGTGAAGGTTGGGTTGCCTGAGTTGGAAAAGCTCGTTGAAATCCATGTTTTTTAGCCTACTTGCGAGTAGCAAATTCCGAAACGTTTTTCCAAAACAAACGGATATGCAATGCTTTTTTCCAAATTAGGCAATCTAGTCTATACTTGTTTGCTGCGCGCATAACATAGTAATTCTAGGCTAATAATCGAAATAGGAACACATAATGTTTTCAAAAACGGATATCACGGTTAGTAGAGGCCGATCTTCGGATCGGGCGAGAGGAGGTGCTCATAGCTGACCTTCCCCAATCGTACCCTAGCTCCCGAGCCGAGAATTTTTCGAAAGAAATGAGTTATGAATGCTTCAAGGATGGACTTGGCGAAGACTATGGTCTAAGTTGGTTATGCAAAAATTACCACACGAGGGCGTGCCACCTACCCGGGTCGGGTTCGTGGGTCGTAGATTTTGGATCTTGAGGCTTGGGTAAGGTTTGGGCTGGGCCGAATAGATGTTCTACCAACCTAATCTTTTTGGGCCAAGCCTGGTTAGTGGCTGTAGATATAGACACATGTGTATATATGAAGTGTGTAACTCACACACATAAAGTCGCATAAGTTTTGTTGCATTTGTTAGGCAGTTTTGCAGAGATTTATTTCTGCATTTGTTGCAGAAGGCTCCTCCTCTCTCTCCCTCCATGTGTATAAAAGGAGACACCTCTCCTTTAGTTTTCTACCCAGAAATTTTGCTATCTTTGTGTTCTTCCAAAGTTCCATTTTTTTTTCTTCCTAGTGTGAGAGAGTGTTGCCTAAGTTCTATTCGCTGAAGCTACTCAGTAGGTGCCTTGCTGTAGCTGGTCTAACTGTTGTATCCTGGGAGACAAACGTCAAACAACCTCCAGCACCCCAATCGGTGAGGCGGCGAATCTGTTTTAAGGAAACTATTTAATTCAAGCTTCGGTTTGATTTTTTTTTTTTTGCCATTTTCTTTTACTATATATTTCTATTCAATCTATTTTTAATTTCCAACATGAGTTTTTGTTATGTAATTTGAATTATTAATTATGAATCTATTTGTTTATTTTATTACACATTTTTTACAAGACTAACTTGCACTTGATATCGTTTGAACTTGCAACCCAAAAAAGGTAGAACCATATGAAATTGATATTGAAAAAAATGTCTTGAAAATATGTAAAAATGTTAAAAAGTGTATTTGATTTCAATAAAGTTTATTGAATTTAGTAAAATGTGTCTTGTGTTATTCAATTTTTTTGTCTTTTACTTGTGCTTTAGGGGCACTTGTTAGCAAATTGATATTTTGTTTTACCAAACTTTTTTTTTTGTTTTTTAGAAAAGTAGAAAACAAAATTCAACCAAATATGGTGAAGTGAATTTCTCATATCTTACTTTTTTTGAAACTATTTTTTAATGCTAATATATATATATATATATGACTATTTTAGTGACCTTTTTTTATTTGTATGGTTTGCATTAATATTTGTATTAAATTTTATTGTTTGAGTTGAGTAATGAAAAAAATAATAACATTTGTATGGTTTAATTATTATTTTTATTGTTTGGTTTGACTTACTATTTGTATGGTTAAATATTATTATTTTTTTTCATATTGTTTGAGTTAATTGTCTAATTTTATTAATAAAAATGAAAAATAATATTTGAATGGTTTAGTTATTATTTTTATTGTTTGGTTTGACTTACTATTTGTATGGTTGAATATTATATTGTTTTTATTCGTATGATTTCAGTTAATATTGCACACTTTGAATATTATTATTTTTAATTTTTATGGTTTCAATTAATATTTGGATGATTTGAATATTATTATTTTTATTTTTATTACCACTAATTGGTAGTTTTCCCTTTTACATAAGTAATTTTAAATAAATGTTTTGTTCATATTAATTTCAGTCATACATTTCATTTTAATTGTGCAATGTTTTATGGGAAATTTATTGGAAAGTCCTATTATAGTAAATTATGGTCCATTTGGTCCCACGTTTTTTCCCTTTGTTTGACAAGTCCATTTAGTGTGTACTTTCTTACCGGGTAGTCCTTTTTCAAATGTTAATAGGGTGTAGTCGGACAGATATGCCCTCACGTTCCAATTTTATGAGGATTCTTATGCGTTCCTTTTTGGTATGTGCAAGTCACGTTTTGGGGGAGTTTAGGAAAGCAGTTTACATAGGTATCAAATAGCGGGGCTAGGGTTTTATTGCTTTCTGTTGTTCGGAGTAGGGCAACGCAGTTAGGGTTGCAGTGGGGGGTTACGTGGATCACTGGCTTCTACCGGTCGTTTTTTCACAGGTACGTTACGAAACCATTTTATTATTCAACATTTGTACATTCAGGATCACTCAATATTGAGTCTGTCATTGAACATTGGTTTGGTGTATGTACTCATTTTGTATGTGTACCCAGTTCTTTTTTATTAGTTGCATTTATATGTTGTTACATTGTTGTCGAGGAATTTGCCGGTATACCCCGTTTGGTGATTAATCAATGCAATCGTTTACGACTTCATTTTTTTTCTTGTTCAACTTCTATTGTTTTCTATTATCGCACATAGTTCTTACTGCAGGTCTATTTTCAATTGTGGGGTTCGCGTAGGGGAGGGGGAGTGTTTTTTTCTTGTAGATATGGGGGAGAGGGGAGTGTTTTTTGTTCTATTTATGTGGGAGAGGAGGGGAGTGTATCATTTTACACCAATGGTGTGCACCAATGGTGCGTATTTGTATATGACTTATACATCTTTCCCTTACAGATGGACGCATTTATAATGCTTATGTGTTGTTACCAATCTACGAATGTTGCGTACAACTCACAATCGCCACACACTTATGACAAACTAGCTGAATTCGTTTGTTCAAAATTCAAGGAACTCACCCCGGGGAACATATTGTTTTTCTTCAAAATACCGGGGTACAATGAGTTCACATTACAAAATGACGTCGACGTGGAAAATATGCTTTGTCTTGCGTGGTCGTTCCAGTTACATGTTGTCGACGTGGTTGTCAAACAAAATTTGGGTGTGGACACATGGATTCAATCCAATAATCAAAGTGTTAGCGGAAAATTATCGCTGCATCGCCCAAGTGAGTTGGACAATTTTGAGATAGATGATGAGGTTGACTTGTTGCAGACATTCTGCCCCCATAATGATAAGGTATTCATGTTAGAGTCATGGGCAAGTGGGTTCACTCATATATGACAACATTTTGAAGGTGGTGCAACTGAATTCCGCAATGTGTTGCACAAATACGCTGTTTAGTGCGGCTTCAAGTTCACTTATGTTAAAAATGACTTTGTCTGGATTACTGCCATTTGCGCAATGTCTGCAATGAAGGGCTGCAATTGGAATGTTCATGCAAGAAAATTGGAGGCAAATAGGTTCTTCTACCTCCGCAAATGGGTTAGTGAACATACCTGTGGTGTTGCTATACGCGCGTCCACAAATCGGCTTGTTGGATCTGACTTGGTGGTCAACATCATGGCAGAGCAGATACGTGACAGGCCGCTCACACGTCCAACCGAAGTTATACTTAACATGAAACAAGATTACGGCTTGGACATAACTTACCGTGTGGCGTGGTTTGGGGTTGAAAAAGCAAGGGGGGTACTATTTGGTGCGCATTCAATTTCATTCGATCAGTTGTAGTGGTACAGCGCTGCTGTGATGGAACACAACCCCGGCAGTTACGTTACCCTCAAGCACGATGAACACACCCACCGGTTCACAAAATACTTCATATCTTTCAAGGCATGCATCGATGGGTTCACCCACTGCCGTCCACTCATTTTCCTTGATGCCACATTCCTCAAAGGTCATTTCAAAGGATTTTTACTAGTAGCCACTGCGAAGGACGGCAACCAAGGTTTGTATCCCCACCAAATTTTCCTACTAACGCATCATTCTATCATATATAAACATTTCCACCATTCACACATTCACGTTTGACATTCACAAAATATACTTATTAACAATTGTTATGAACGTCCATCCATGTGTTACAGGGTTATTTCCACTAGCATTCGCTGTGGTCGACTCCGAGAACACGACAAACTGGTCGTGGTTTCTACAAAGCCTCGCACATGTTCTAAATGGGGACAGACCACTCACATTTATTTCAGATCGGAACGCCGGGTTACTGGAAGCAACGCCAACTGTTTTCTCTAACGCGGAACATGCCTTCTGTTTGCAGCATTTGCAAAGAAATCTGTGTGACAGGTTGCGTTATACAAATAGTATGCACCGGGCTGGGTTGGTGAGCAAATTACCCCACTGCGCATATGTACCAACGGTTATCGCGTTCAATGATAAACTCGAACAATTCCACAAATCAGGCCGCGGTGTTGCATCCGAATTCCTTGCTACCACACCACCACAACATTGGGCTAATGCATTTTTCAGGTAAACGAAATGGGCATCACCATAATTCTCAACAAAATTCACCCTACACAATGTTACCAAACCGTCCACATCGTTCTATAATCCATAACACTTGTAACTCATTTTTAAATTACAGGGGAAGACGGTACGGTGAGATGTGCTCAAATGATGCAGAATCATTCAACTCATGGATACGGGAGGCCTGTAATCTGCCAGTCACCAGGATGATTGATAGCATCAGAGCCAAAATAATGAATCAAATGTCAAAGCATAGAGATGCATCCCAATCATGGACTGGTACAATATGTCCAAAAATGGAGTCTCGTTTGGAGAAAGCATTCAACAAAGGCAGGTCATGGCGAGTCAGCCAATCAAATGCAGACGTATACGAGGTCCACTCATTCTCTTCGGTTACAGTCAACATTGGCACCCAAACATGTTCATGTTTCCAGTGGCAACTTAATTGGTTCCCTTGTGCACACGCGATGGTCGCCGTTAGGAAAAACGGTCATGATTTGAACGATCTTGTAGAACCCTACTTCCATGTGTCAGAATACCGTTCGACTTACGCCGCAAGTATCTTCCCAATTCCAACCGTGAAACAACCACCGTTTGATCCGTATGACTACCTCATCAACCCCTCCGTTGTCAAACGCCCTCTCGGCAGGCTAAAGAAAAAGCGGATACTATTAAGGGGTGAGCATGTGCAACAGATCCACTATGTTAGGTGTGGCCGCATGGGAAACCACAACAGGAAAACATGTAATGAGCCTATTTAAACCGCTCACGAAAGCCCGAATGTTCAACATTACAATTTTCAGTTTTCATACCTACGCTGTGACAACGCCAAATAAATATTTATTTACGTTTTTGTTATTTTCACGAACAATCTCTATTCATTTTTGAGGCAATTATATAAAAAGTGTGCGACGACACACCATTTACGAAGATTCAATGTGTAACGTACACATCATATAATATGTGTATTACGACAATAGTCAACCCTCCAAATTTCACACATCCACACATTGCCAACAAAAAAAAGAACAACACATACTGTACCAACATTACCGTGGGACTAAAACAACACATTTTAATCATTCACCAATTTTCGAACATTGAATGTAAACAAGTTATTTTTTTGTAGCAACACCGTGCCACATCCACGTAAATCGTTACTTACGTGTTTGTTATTTTCTGTAATTATGCAGTGCCACAGACGCATAAGATGTTATTTACGTGTTTGTCGTACAGTCCTAACATTACCCCGGGACTAAAACAACAATTTCGGAGCCACTTCCATCTAGAAAACACATTACATTATATTCGTTCCTCACCAGACATTATCGTTGTGTTAGGTTGACATTACACGTACACAAACACTCCCCTTAAACGTCAACATAGCGTCGCACATGCTTGACACTACACTCCTAACACTTTCAGCAACCAAGTCATACAGAACACTTAAACACCATTGCAACCACAATGCCAAGCATAGTTACATCACACCTTTTTCTTTTAAAGTTATCACCACACATTCACATCACTCAATTGCGTCCACTTTCATCCTACAAACGTGTGACGAAGCATAATACATCATGACAAACACTTCACGATACGCAATACATGGTTTTCGTTCCAACTGACACGTTCTCGTCATTTTAACATGCCATTACACTTACACCAATACTCCCTTCAAACATCAACATACCCTCACACGACGACGTAGTGTCCAACGTGGTTGACATTGCATTACTCCCATCCCCAGCGACCACGTTCCACTACAACCCACACAAAACGACCACTACACACACTTCACATTGCACGTTACGATAACGTCATTTATAACAGAACACTAATTTCAAAGAGTACGCCAACCATGGTCACACCCCACACCTTTTCAGCTAACATAAACAACGCACCACCCACCTTTCACTACATCCATACACTATCCGCTGCACGATACAAATATTCCATACACGCTCCCACAAAAATGATCACGCTATGCAAACAACACCAACCCCCCCAAAACTTAAAAAATCTCTAACTTCACTCACTCGTTTCATACACACGTCCCACGAACAACACATCAACTGACCCCACCGTTGCCTAATAACCAAACGAGAACCACGACTTAACCCCGCACACCTATTACCCAAATAAAGAGAAAAAACAAACAAAATCACCCCACCCACTCCAACAAACACACAACTAACACATACACTCACTGCTGTCCCGCCAAAATAAATTTGAATCCACAATCTTAGCTCAACAAACCAACCAAAAAACATTTATGTGCAAATAAACAGTTTCACCAAATTTCAAAAAAACTTAAAAAACAAACCAACATTTTTTCCATGTTCCAAACAAAATAAATAAACCACAACAACTGTATGCACACAAAGTTCACTACACTACCCCCAAAAAATCCTAAATTATTATAATCTTCCACATTATACCAATGTCTGCCCCATATTACTGGCAACCCCTCTCAGCGGATCCTCAATTAACTGCTTCACCATGTTAGCCCGAAGAACACTGTAGTTGCCTCCTTGCAAAGATCGCGCAACATCCACATGGTGCACGTACTGTCTCATGATGGTGCAAACTATAATCGCACGGTCAAGCCTGTGAAACTAAACATATAATTAAAAAATCAAATTACAAAATGATATGGATCCAATTTGTGGCATTATTTACGCTAACTAGATTACGTGCCACTTATGATTCTGGCCGCTGCTGTGGGCATTCCACAGCTAACTTCACCGACGTATCGACTTCCTGTGTTTCGATAACGTCAAACACTCCACGAGACGCCATCGACTCTCGTTGCACTTGGACAAAAATTCTTTTCTGCACAATTACCAAACAAAACAAACTAATATTAACCCTCATGCAATTTCGGGGGAAACCCAACATATGCACTAAATCACCACTGCGCAAACTCACCAACGTCATAGTTTCCATGGTATGAGCTGCCCCCGCACCACCCCTATTACGTATCGAATTGTAATGTTTCCAACTACCCTCCTCCGTCTCGTGCACAACAAGAGTCCAATGCGATTGGTGGCCTAGGGGAAAATGGAAGTAACGCGCATCTCCTGCGGCACACACGTTATTCATCACGTATTTTGCCCTGGTCGACTTATTCTCATTCTTCCTCATGTCCTAAATCAGCCAAATAATCAACAACATAAAATCATACAATGTACCAAACAAACATATAAGCACATGCATGCGTAAGACCCTCACCAAATATATACTGCTGAAGAAGTAAGATTTATTCTGGAAATCGTTCCCTGCATTCAACTTTTCCTACTTATCTGTAAGCACCTCGGCGTATGCATCTATCACCTGCAAAAAGGTAATAACAAACTATGAACCATCACACCTACAATGAAAACATGTGCGACCGAACTATCATTCACCAGCACTACAATATCCAATTACTACAAAAATTCACCACAACTTACATTTCCTCTCACAGCCCCCAGCCGCACAATAACTCTTACATTAGAAAAGTAAACAGCGTTACCATCAGCTCGCCCAACCCACATCACCGCCCTGCACACATTTTACACAATAACACATTTACATAAAGCAACACACGTCAAAAACATTATGTCAAAAAAAAAAAAAAAAAACAACAACAAATAATAACACACAACACATTTGCTCACCCATCACCATATCTGTCATACGCAGTCCGTGTGATACCTTTCTCGCTCTCAGACATCATCTTCCACACAGTGTTATAGTTGTTTATACCAAACCCAGAAAAATTCTTAGCCACATCACGAACCTCTTCAACGTGAACAACATCATCACACTCAACACGGTCCAACCCACGTCCAACAATATTGTCCCGTGCACTTCCACCTTTGTTACCCCCCTTTCGATGCCGCAAACGCACCTCCGGATATTCAAATTCTGGTAATTTTAGATTTTTCCTAACCTTCCCTTTTATATTACGCACAAACGAATTCATACCATCGTCCAACGCACCACCATCCCCAATCACAGGACTGATGACAACCACTTCATGCTCTCCAACCTGACCCATACCAGCATTTACGTCCGTCTCACCACTACGTCCGAAACCATGCACATACGACAATGGGGACGCATTTACCACAACATTGCTACAAATCGATTTCCCACTGCTTCCTACCCCCTGCAGACCCCTCTCTCCCGTCGTCCCTCTCGGGTACCATTTCACCAATAGCCTCACCAATGAAGCCATTATAACATTGTGTGACATTATGCACGGCATGATCCGCAAGTTGCTTTTCCAAACACGCTACAGTCCTCTTCAACTCCGCATTTTCCTCTGCCAATTTTTTAATTTCCTCATCTTTAACTTTGAAAATGCTCTCGAACCCTCCAACCAGATTCAATGCCTGCATCTCATTTTTCCGTTTTAACATTGCAACCTCGTCCATCAAATTTGCCACAAATTTTTCTATCTCATCTTTACTCACACAGTCAACCACATATTCCGTACCAGCTCGAAGACGACCCCCCTTCCTGCTAACGTCATCAAAATTCGACCTGGATGTTCCCACTTTTATCCCCGGACATGCATCCACGTCGCCCCCTAATTCCCTCAACTCTCTACCCACCCCTTTATCATTGCTAATGGACATCTTGCCACATACTGCTTCAGTCTTACCCCCAGCATCATCGACATTCGCATCACTACATCGTTCACATAAACCACCTACCACTAACCCTATATCGTCATCGACCAGATCTACATCATCACCCAAGCGTACACAGCCCATTAGGATAGAACGTTCATGTTCCGCAACCACCAAATTATCTGGTAATACCTGCACGCAACACAAATTCACCAAACCATTTAGATGTGGTCCACAATTTACATCGGAAACAATAAACACACATTTTAACATTAACACCACACATAAACAAAACAAACAATACCTCAAATTTTGCTTGCATTGACAGTTTCACCCCTCGTGCACTGGATACCAATTCACCAACATTCTACTTCAAAAATCTTGGAAACGATTTTGCTTTAACTATGGTTGTGTGTTCGCATAACCAGAACTGGGGAGAACAATACACAACACGTTACACGTCATACACATGTCTAAAACAATCAAACAAGAAAATAATAACCAGCCATTTCAAATCAACTACATAAACAGTTATTCCACACACCACTTACCAATAAGGCGATGACACATCTAGTCACTTTCTCAAGCGTCCTGTGGAAATCCCTAACAGAACACATCAGTGAGTGCCGTATCGCTGCACACCAATCGTACAATTTCATTGCTTCTAAATTTTTAACATATCGGATAAATGTCCAACTAATTGTCTCTCTGGAGTTTGCAAAAAACAACTTCCCACAAACATAAAGGCATAACAGTTTTGCTGTGTCCTCATGATCACGTGGGGGTGTCTCTCGCTGCTGCCTCAGTCAACATATCCCTGACAAGTTTTGCTGTAATTTTACTCGTTCCTCCACACCTACGTTGCACAAAATTCGACGGAGGCCTCGGTCTTGGCGTCAAATCAAGAAAAGCATCCCCACATTGTAATCCAAATAACAATTTGATATCCTCATCTATCAGATTAACACTCTGGCCACCAATAACAAACTTCCCATGTCGTATGTTGTATGCCTTTATGATGTTGACCACCAAATCATCACCTTTTCTGAATTCTGTGTGATCAAGCTGATTTATCAATGTCACTTCATACATCAGCCAGAAGGGGGTTTTCCTCAAATGCACAAGGTGTACGTCCCAAA